ACCTGCTGGTTTGCTGCCCAAATGGCCGCGTTGGCCATGGCAGGACTGGGCCAAAACCAGGAGTCTGAATCTCCATCAGGGCCTCCCATATGAGTGCAGGGGCCCAGGCACTTGCTTTTCCAGGTGAATTAGCTGGGAGCTGGATTGGAAGTGGAGTAGCCAGGACTTGAAACAGCTCTCACAAGGGAAGCCAGTGCCCTAGGCATACGCTTAACCTGCTGTGCCACAATGCCAGCCTGGAGATTCATGTACTTTAAAGACTGAATTCACAGGAGACAATAGTGACATTTGATTCTGAAGACCTTTCTCTCTCTGCCTCTGTCTCTGCCTCTAAGTCTGCCTTCAATATAAATAAATAAGTTTTTTTAAGAAAAATTGTGGTGCTAAACTCATATTCTTGCTGAACCTAGGAATGCTTTTACTTAACAGGTAGAGCTAAATGTTTCAAAAAGTGACTTTGGAAATGGTAACCAAGAACTTGCATTTATTTTTCCCCTTTTTTCAGTGACACTGATATGATAGTAAAATTTAAAAAATAAATCTTTTTTATAAAAAAATAAATTTATAGTGATGATGAAAACAAAAGTGGGTGCCACCAGAATAGCAAAACCTTTGATATAGTTCTTGACATAAAGTAGATAGGACTGTTTTCTTCAGTAAGCTAGAGTAGAGAAAAACTCAACACAAATGGAGAAGCCTGTTGTGGGGGCTCCTGGCAGAGAACACCCTCCAAAACTCCGAGCTTGGAATCTCCAATTGTAGAGCATAGGAGCTAACTGTAGATGGACCTGCTGGCCTATTCGCTTTCTTCTGCATGTCTGGAATAATTCCCTGTAACTTTTGCTCTTGCTACTTTCTAAACTTAATGGATTCTTGACCTGGTCAGGTCCCATGGTGTAAGTGTTTGGCGTGGTCGAGAAATGGAACAGAGCCTAAAGTGACTGTGGACTTTTACAACCGACCCAGAGGAGAATATGAAAGGCAGCTCTACTTAGGAGTGAAATACCCTAAAATAACACAATTCCAAAGTAAAGTTCTACTTATTTGACAGTTGCAGTAGTTGAAAATAAAGGTAGTACCTTCGCGCCACATATATACCTTGAAGGATTTCCTAATTATCAACAGGACCTGCTTGATTATACTGAACTTGTACTGAAGTATGAGGGCTTTTATGTAAGTAGATCTTTACAGCTTCAAAGAAAACCTGTACAAGTGTCAATACCATTATTCTAGTCACATATTTATGAATTTGAAGGGAGAACCAAAGGTCAGCAGGTACTTGAGGGAAAATCACGAACAAGACCAAGTTGAAAAGAATAGCTAACACAAGAGGAACAAAATCCAAAGAACAGAAAAGATCAAATGACTATCCTCACATTAGACTTTCAGCCTCTGCCTCAAATGTAGAGATCCAGAAGTGCTTTGATGTCTACCCTAACAACCAGAAAAAATTGGATACTGTACAAAGTCATCACTTCTGTAGACTCTATCAGAGAAACCAAGACCTCAGAGCACCCAAGTAGCCTGCTGGGCAAGACAAGTAAGTACCTTCAAGGAGAGACAGATGTGAGGTACTGATTACCAGTGGCAGAGCATGGGAAGAAGCTGAGGGCACTGAATAGGAGGTAAAATAATGCAGCTAAAGCTTTTAACAAATGGTTAATGGCCATGTGGGGGTTGGTGTGAGATTACAGCAGGTATAAGACAATTCATACTTGCTTGCAGCTCCTTTGGCGTAGACCTCTGGATATTCACAAGAAAGATTGAGGGCAGGGCTGGAGATCAGAGCTGTAATTCTGGAGGAGTAGTTGTTCAGGAAGAAAAGCACAACACTTCTTCTCTAAGAACAGTAGCATTAAGCCTTCAGGGGCAGAGCTGCAACTGCCATCTCTGGACAGGAGTCAAAACCTACAGTGGCTAGAAGACAAAGACTAAATGCATGCAACACTCAACTCTCCATAGTTGATAGAATAAGTAGAAAATCAAGAAGAATAAAGAAAGACCTTAACAATACTATCAGCTTACTTGATACTATCCCATTCCACTGAATACTATAGAATATACTTTTTTTCCAAGTATATTCGGAACAGTCTACCAGACAGATCATATTTGATACCATAATACAAAAACACAAAATAATTAAAATTATATAAAGTATGTTCTTTCACCAAAACAGAAATAAACAACAAATTACTTATGGAAAAATATCTGAAAAATTCTAAATATTGGAAAACTACAGAGCACACATCTAAGAAGCTATGGATCAAAGAAGAAATAAGGCAAATTACAAAATATTTTGACTAATGAAAATGAAAACATCACATGAGTATTTGAAGTGATATAAGATGAGGGGGAATTATATAGCATTTGATGCTTATATTAGAAATGGAAAAAAAAATCTCCAGTCAGTTATCTAAGCTTGTACCTCAAGAAACCAGGCAAAAAGAGCAAATGAAACCCCAATCAACCATAAGGGGACAGTAAAAGCAGAAACTGATAGCCTCTATTCATTTTATGCTTTCAATTCTATCAATGAAATCAAAAGATGATTCTTTGCAAAGATAACTAAAATTGATAAGCCTATAGCCAGACTGACCAAATAACCAGAAAGCACAAATTACCAATATCAGGCGTGAAAGGGAGCATCACTACAGATTCTCTAGAATTTAAAATAATAAGGGCATATTTCATATAACATGATGGCAGCATGCTACAAGGAGAGTGGAAATGTTTGAAGAGTCTTATTTGCTGAATCTGGAACCCCTTGAGCACCAAAATAATTATGGATAGTAACAAAAGAGAATCATTGACAAACAAAAAGAAATCCATGATTCCACACTGGTAATAGACAGTTAATTGTGAAGGGAGGGCCCTTTCTTAGAGAAGAATTCTGAGTACTAGTTGACAAATATGCAGACAATACTGGAGTTGGAATATTATTTTGTAATCATCACAGTAAAGATTAAATCAAGTAAAAGTCATTAATCAGTGCTGAATCTAGAGAGAAATTTCTGTGAGAAGCATGGTCTTAAAGATGGAATCATTTCTTCCAGATGTGATCCCAGTCATACAGTATTCAGGCTATAGCATTTAGCCTGGACAACCTCTGTAGAGATTGAATACACCATTTCCTCAGTTACTACTCCTTGTAAAGTTGCTTTTAGAATTTATGTTTAGTTTTCTGAGGCATCTTCAAATACTTAGTTCTTCTATCTGAACCCAGGTAGCTGAAGCTCATTCAGTGTTATTCCAGAGCCTACTCCTGTATTCTAGAAGCTGTACTACTTACCTTGGACAGAAAAAGGAACCTGATATGTTTTGGAGAGATGGTGCCAGCATAGTTTCCAGGGCCTTGGTTTTTGTAAAGCTTATGGGAAACCATAAACTCTCAGGTGACCCCTTTCTGGATCTGGACCTACTCTTATTTAGAAATCATTTCAGACTTGGAGAAAAGTTGCAAGAATAAGAAGAGTATAATGAATATATGAATATATATATATATGTCATTCAGACTTACCTAATTGTTAACCTTTAGCCTTTCATAGCTGGTTAAGATATTTTTAAAATTCAATTTTCATTTTTTGAGCTTGCAAGAATTTTTTTACTTTTGTCATGTAATAGCGTGGTCTCGAGGGCCTCTCAAATTGAGGAGGAAGACACCTATTTGTATTTTGAAGCTCAGATCTGTCTTGGCTTCCTGTTTGTTGTTTTGCTAGCACTGTTAGAGTTGAAATAGCCTATTTTATCTGGGATGAAGAATAATACTGCGAATTTCTCTATTGGTGTAAGAATTCACATACTTTCTTTCGAAAGTATGAGGGGTGGATGGTGTCAACCTAAATGACTTATAAAATTGTTAAGGTGAAATTCAGGGAGGAATTATTTGGGGGTTATTCCCTGAGTAAGCACTTTTTAAGTATAGTTGGAAGAGAAGAAAAGGGTGCTTGGAAATATGAGTGTGTTTAGATAAAATCACTTAGGTTAGTGGAATTAGTGCTAAAGTCCAAATTGTATATTTTGGTCAGTTACCCTACTTTCTGTTCCTCCCTCTAGAAGATGTGCAGAAGAGTTTAGGGCACCTTTTCTTGCCATCTCACAGTTCATGAAGCTAAACTCTTCTGTAAGACTTGCAGCTTAGTGTGTTAGAATCTTAAGACCGTTTCTCAGTGCTTAAGGACCTCTGGAGTTGTAATCAGTCCTGGATTGTCAAGAACGTAAGAAGCTCTCATAAAAGGATTTTATGATCACAGAAATCGAGGTGCGAAAAGTTAATATAAATACAAAAATTGACCTATAAGCACATTAATTATTAGAATGCTGTAGTAAATACATAAAGGAAATTAAGTGTCCTATAATTAGATTGGGGTATGAGGGTATCAATTAAAATGTGGAATAGTTCTCTAAGTCACGTCTATGAAGTTAAATTTTATTTAGCCATAACGTCATAGTACCTGTCAACATGTAAAAATACTTGTGACATAATTTGGAAAAATCAGAATACACATTTCCTGTACCCTATGATTTTTCACTAAAACTACTCATATTTATGAGCAAGATGAAAGTTCATAAGAACTACTCAAATTTATGAACTTCAGTCGGGTAGTCAAAATATAGGTAATTTTTCCTGCTCTACTTTTTCAGCTTTCCGTAATGTGTGTAGCATTTGTGGTTGAAAAGAAATTAACTTCTCTATTTAAAGTGACCTCTGAATTTTAAAACCTCATCAAAGTTTGGGTCAGCAGTCCAGAAATCAGTAGGCTCTGGTAGAGTCCTACCCTTTGGCCCTGCTAGAAACTGGATTTGTATGAAAATTGGGCCAGTAGGGAAGTTTATTATAATTAGTCCTCTGAAAGTCTTCTGTACTCAACCCACTTTACCTTCTCATGCTTTTTACTGCCCTCTCAAGGTCAGGGCACTGGGCTCTGCCTGTTGGGTTGTGGCTGAGCAGTGCTGTCTGTAACGTTACATCTGGAATTCTCCTTCCATCTCTCCCCCTTTAGGAAGTGCATTTTCAACTGAGCACCTCAAGCTTCAACTCCAGAAGGAATCCCTAAATGAGCTGACCAAGGAGTGTACTGCAAAAAGGTAAATGCAACAGTGAATAAATAATTACTGTCAGTGTTGACTTCACTGTGAGGAGATTCGGAAAAGCAATGTTTTTTTAAAAATTTTTAGTATGAATTTATATTCCATATCCCTCTGCACCACATCCACTTATTCAACAAATATTTATTCAGCACCTCCTCTGTACCATGCTTTGTGCTAGAGACCAGTTACCAAAACTCCTAGGATGTCATCGTAAGCAGAAACGCAAGCAGGTCCTAGTTCTACAGGTCAGAACCCCCGGCTGGTGTTTCCATCTTCCCGGGTCTTCTGCGTACAGGTTAGTTTTTCTTCTTCAGTGATTTCTTCAGGCTTTTGCTTCTTGTCTGCTCATTTGGGTTACCTCAACAGCTCTATTATCATTCTCTCCATCTTTTAGTTCATCCTCCTTGTCGCTGACTTCTCTTGAAATATCATTTTTACCATATTTTTTCTCTGGAAGTGATGATTCTTCTGCTGAACGTTTGAATGGCCTTCCTTCAGTGGGCATCCTAGTGGCAGGCATTTAGCCTAGCATTCAGGCACTTGTTAAGATGCCCACGTCCTGCTTTCAGCGATCATGGTTCAGTTCCCTGCTCTGGCTTCTGACTCCAGCTTCCTGCCAGTGCACACTCTGGGAGGCAGCAGTGACGCAAATGCTCGGGTTCCTGCCCCCACATGGAGACCTGGATGGGTCCCCACTCCTGGCCCAGCCCAGCCCCAGTCTTTGTGGGCATTTGGGGAATAAACCAGTGGGTGGGAATACGTGCTCTCTCTGTCTCTCAAATAAGTATTCTTTTTTTAATTGGTATTATACAACCACAGTTAAGTAACTCCCCAATGTTTATTTATGCAGATAGCTTCCCTGTTTTATCCAATTCATGCTTAATCCATTACAATATTTGTTCTTTGCTCATCTTCACTAACTTTTCCGGAAAGTCTTCCCATCCTAAAGTTTTCAGTTTTCTTCAAGAGACCTTAGCAATTGAGGATTAAAGAATGTTAGACCCAGAAACCACCTCTTCTAATTCTCTCAGTTTGCAGATTAGCAAAGCAAGGTTCAGGGAAGATGCTGGTTATCCAGCTCACTAGCAAAGCCTGGATCCTATTAAGTCTTCAGTGCTGTTTTAGATGAGAAAACCCAATGTTTTTTCTCCTCTCACACACCACGCCACGCAACACTTTTTGACACCAGATTCTCATTCAGTTCTGACACTGTTTACCTGAAGATACATCACTCCCACAGGACTGCCTTTCTCTTTTAGATGTTAATTGCAAGTCCCACGTTCTGAGCTGTGCTTCTGACCTGCTATAAATTGTGGTTAGTAAAACTGTTCACAGTACTCAAGGAAACATGTACATTTACTGGTTTGTTAATAAAGGGTATTGCAAAGGATATGCATGAACAGCCAGATGGAAGAAATGGGTCAGGGGAAGCTATGAGGGAGAGCCATGGAGCTTCCATGCCTTCACCAGGCAAGCCACCCTCTCCGAACCTAGACAAATCTAGAAGCTCATCCTGTGTTGGCCAGGAGTTTTTATGGTACTTGGTTACTGGCCTTCTCCCCTCTTTCCCTTTCCCAAGTATGGGTAGGAAGGACTGAAAATGTCAACCCTCTCATCACCAGGTCTGGAGAGTAATCAGCCAAAGGTGCCAACCCTAAGTTTCCTCATTAGCATTAACTCTGGGATGATTAAAAAGGGCTTGTTATGAATAATGTATTCTGTAATGTCTCCATTTTACCTTTACCTCGGTTTCTCCTTAAATTGTTTACACAGTTGAACAGACAGTTTATTCTGGGCATTTTATTTATTTATTTTTTTGAAGATTTATTTATTGCTTGAAAAGCAGAATTACAGGGGGGCAGAGTCAGAGAGAGGTCTTCCATCCGCCGGTTCTCTCCCCAGATGGCTGCAAAGGCCAGAACTGGGCTGCTTCGAAGCTAGGGGCTAGGAGCCTCTTCTGGGTCTCGCACACGGGTACAGGGGCCCAAGCACTTGAGCCATCTTCCACTGCTTTCCCAGGCCATAGCAGAGAGCTGGATTGGAAGTGGAGCAGCCGGGTCTCAAACCAGTGCTCATATGGGATGTTGACACTGCAGGCAGTGGCTCTACTCATTATGCCGCAGCGCTGCCCCTACCCCCTGCCCCCGAGCATTTTAAATGTTAATGTTTCTTCAGAAAGTCAAGAGAAGAGGGGTCAGTGCTGTGGCTTAGCGGGTAGAGCTGCCACCTGCAGTGCCAGCATACCATATAGACATTGGTTCAAGTCCTGGCTGCTCCACTTCTGATCTAGCTCTCTGCTGTGGCCTAGGAAAGCAGGAGAAGGTGGCCCAAGTCCTTGGGGCCCTGCACCCACATGGGAGACCCAGAAGAGGCTCCTGGCTCCTGGCTTCAGATGAGCGCGGCTCCGGCCTTTGTGCCCATCTGAGGAGTGAACCAGTGGATAAAAGACACCTCTCTCTGGCTCCACCTCTCTCTCTAACTTTGTCTTTCAAATAAATAAAGTAAATATCAAAAAAAAAAATATGAAAAGAGCTGGGTCTTCTCATGCTATGACTTTCTGCATATTCTTTTTACTTTATTATTTATCTAATATTGCAACAGGTTGTTTTTGAAATACTTACTGTTGTGAATGAAAAATGAAATACTACTTTGGGGGAAATATAACCTCATTAAATATTGGCTATGAGACCTTTGTTAGTTTGTCTCTAAATTTGGTTTCCTTGTTTATAAATGGTTATAATAATAATCTATTGTCATTGTAATAATTAGATAAACCATTTGTAATACTCTTAGCATATAGTAGTAGATGCTCAGTGGATGACTATTTGTACCTTTATGTCTCTTAGCATGGCGCAGGCAGCCACGGAGGGTCTCATAATTAGCTTGTTTGGTAGCATTTGGAGACAGGTCAGGAGAAATGGTAGCTGTTATTCTTACCCCTACTTCTGAATTTCTGTGGCCTAGTGCTGACCATTTAATCTTCATCCACATTAGTTTATATGTAAAGTGTTACGAAGCATACAAGCCTATTTTCCTAACAGTTGTGCTTTTTTTTCTTTCCTCCTTAGAGAACTCTTCCTGAAGACAAATGCTCAGTTGACAATTCGTTGCAGGCAGTTACTCTCTGAGCTTTCCTACATTTACCCAATTGATTTGGTAAGTTCAACTTTTGGATGTTTTTCTTTTTGGAAAGGTTTTTGCTTGAAATTTCCTTTTACTGTTCGAGTCTTAATAGTATGCTGTCTTGTGATTCAGCCAGGATCTAGTATGAGTTTGAAAAGTAAATTAAGGCTTAGAGTGACAAATTATTTCTGATTTGTTTAGGATCTTTTTTTTTTTTTTTTGGAAAGTCAGAGTTATACAGAGAGAGAGAGAGAGGTCTTCCATCCGATGGTTTACTCCCCAGTTGGCTACAATGGCCGGAGCTGTGCCGTTCCGAAGCCAGGAGCCAGGAGCTTCCTCCGGGTCTCCCACACAGGTGCAGGGGCCCAAGGACCTGAGCCAACCTCCGCCACTTTCCCAGGCCACAGCAGAGGGACGGATCGGAAGTAGAGCAGCTGGGACTTGAACCGGCGCCCATATGGGATGCCAGCTCTTCAGGCCAGGGTGTTAACCCGCTGCACCACAGCTCTAGCCCCTGTTTAGGATCTTTTTACTTAACTAAATCATCCACTACTACCAATTCTGACACATACGTGTAGGTTATGTATGCTGCTTCAAAAATATAATTACTAATTAATTTATCTGTACTAGTTTTTAAGATAATCTCAGAGAAACTGGCAGAAAGTTAAGGTTTTTTTGAACCTGATTTCTTAGAAGAAGTACAAAAAGTATATCTTAAATAAAACTCATTAGGACTCTTCTTTAGAGGACTAATCTGCTAAATTTGATGGTTTTCTTTTCAATAAAAAGTGATATAAAAGACTAAAGAGAGCAGATAGGATTTGCTTTTCTCATAGAATGTTCTTAAATCATTTATAGATATTAATTCATCAGTGGATTTTATTTTAAAGATTTAATTATTTATTTGAATGCCAGAGCATCAGAGAGAGAGAGAGAGAGAGAGAAAGAGAGAGAGAGAGAGAGAGAGAGAGAGATAGGGAGGGAGGGAGAGAGACAGAGAGAAAGAGAGAAAGAGCGAAATCTTCTATTTGCTGGTTCACTCCATTCCCCAGTGGCTACAACAGCCAGGTCTGGGCCAGACCAAAGCCAGGAGCCAGGAACTCCATCCTGGTCTCCCACATTGGTAGCAGTGGCCCAAGTACTTGGGCTATCTTTCTCTGCTTTCCCAGGCACATTAACAGGAAGCCAGATCAGAAGTGGTGCACCTGGGACACAAACCAGCACTCTTATATCGGATGCTAGTGTTTTAAGCAGCAATTTAACCTGCTATACCATAATTCCAACCCCCAGAGGATATTTTTATGATTATTATTTTATCTGACTTTTTATTGGGATATGATGTTTTCAATGTTTTTATTATAGAAAATTTCAAGTATGTTTAAATGTAGGGAGAATTGTATAAGGAATCATCTTGTCCTCCTCATTCTGCATCAACAGTTATGATAACATTTTGAATCCAAAGCGGTATTGTTTTTGAGTCAGTGCTGCCTCTTGAATTCTGTGGATCTGAGTTACAGTCTCTGATTTACATATAAGAAGAATTAATTTCATTTTTTGGTTAAATTCACAGAATGAGCATAAGGATTACTTTGTATGTGGTGTCAAGTTGCCGAATTCTGAGGACTTCCAAGGTATTTTATTTTTTATTTATTTCTGAAGATTTGGTGTATATAACATATGAGAAAAGAATTATTTTAAAATGTGGTTATCTAGCATTTTGTCCAGAAAGATTTTTGGACCTTCTGCCCCTTCCCAGTACAGATATGTAGAGTCAGATTCCTTGATGAGAGATGTAACTGCATGTTTGGTCTAATCATGGAAAAATAATTATTGAAGCTTATATTTGAAATTTAAAAGAAAATTTTTAAATGAGCTTTAAGCAAAATAGGTAGTGGTGTTCCTGGGAATAGTAATAATCTCCCTATTCTTTTGGTTTGATTTTTGTTGAAAATGGAGGCCGGTGCTGCGGCTCAATAGGCTAATCCTCCGCCTTGCGGCGCCGGCACACCGGGTTCTAGTCCCGGTCGGGGTGCCGGATTCTGTCCCGGTTGCCCTTCTTCCAGGCCAGCTCTCTGCTGTGGCCAGGGAGTGCAGTGGAGGATGGCCCAGGTGCTTGGGTCCTGCACCCCATGGGAGATCAGGAGAAGTACCTGGCTCCTGCCATCGGATCAGCACGGTGCGCCGGCCGCAGCGTGCTGGCCGCGGTGGCCATTGGAGGGTAACCCAACGGCAAAGGAAGACCTTTCTCTCTGTCTCTCTCTCTCACTGTCCACTCTGCCTGTCAAAAAAAAAGAAAAAAAAGAAAGAAAATGTATGTGTGGCTGTGAGCCAATATTAATCTGTTGTCATTTTAAAAGTCACTTTTCTGCTGACCTGAAAAGTATTTGAAAGTTTACCTTTGTGACATCAACCACTACCATAGGTTCAACTTGCTTCTCTCCTCATTAAAAAAAATACATTAAGGGTATTCTAGAATAGGATTTGTAGAAATTTTTGTATTTTAAAAATCTTTTGTTTTCCTATTCACTGCTTTGAGTCTTATTAAATATCTTTATAGGTTATTCCCAAAGCTAGTGTATTACCTCTTTGGGAAAAAGTTACTGTGATAGTAGCTGTGATCAGGACTATCTTCCATTTTCCTATACAGAAATTATTGTTATCTGTGGTCCTTTACCTTTTCAGACTGTTTTAATTAGTCACTCCCTTCAGCCCTTACAGGTTCAATAGTTGGAATGTGATGTACAAGAATGATAATCCGCGAACTAGAAAAACTGAGTTCAAGTTCTGGTTCTTCTTCTATGAACCATGTAATTTAGAGCAACTCATGTAAACTTTGAGTTAATTTCTTGATGTATGAATATATTAGTTTATTTCCCATCTGTCTTAATTGATTGCTTTGAAAATTAGGTGAGACATTTCAATATCTGTACAAGCACAAGATTTTGTCTTATCTTTAATCCTCATAAAAGTATAAATTTGAGAAAAAAAAAAAAACAAAAGAAACCTATAAGGAAAGTGGTATTCAGTGATTTGCTCAAAAGCACAAAACACGATACTTATCTATCTCAGATTTGTCTGGTTTCCATTACACGATACTCCCTCAGATCTCTGGAAGTTGCACAGATGTGGTTTGGTGTTAATTTTTTTTCCAATTTATTTATCTGAGAGAGAGCTCCTATCTGCCGGTTCACTGTCCAGATGCCCTCCACAACCAGAGCTGTGCATGAGCTCAGTCTGGGTCTGTGCACGTGGGTAACAGGGACCCAATGACTTGAGCCGTCACTGCTGCCTCCAGGGCTGTGCGCTAGCAGGAAGCTGGCGTCAGGAGCTGGAGCTGGAGTAAAGCCCAGGTGTTCTAACGTGGGATGCTGGCATCTTAGTCAATGTCCTAACTGCCAGGCTGAACACCTGCCCCTAGTGTTCATTTTAGGCAAAGCTGTGGTGTCTTGAAGCCCATGGCACATCAGTTCTCCTCATTCATTGATTCATTCACTCAGTAAACATACTTGGATCTGGGATATGGAGCATTCATTCAATACTTATGGAATACCTGTGTGCTGGGCTTTTGAGGGTTCCTTCATAGGATGTGTCACCTATTTAAGGAGCATGCCAATAACTAAGAAAAGAATCAGTTAACAAATATTTAATAAGGGACTAATCTGTCATAGGGAGTGAGGGCACCTACTTTAGGTAGAGCAGTCAGGGAAGACCAACATCGAACGGAAGATGTGCAAATGGAAGGAGGCAGCTGTGCTATAGCGGAAGGGAGAGCACCAAGTCCAAAGGTCATGACGGACGAGGATGGGCCTGGCGTGGCTGGCATAACTTAGGGTTGCCAGTGCGGGAGCAAAGACATGTACTTTGCCCAAATTATGTAATCTCACAGCCTAAATTCTTTACCTGTAAAATGAGATGACAGCTCTCTCATTCACTGTGCTGAACGAATGACATAACATTTGAAAGAGCTTTTCACGTGGGCAGTGCTCAGTAAATATAATTGGAATTACTTAAAAAGCAGCGAGGATGGAAAGGAGGGAAAGACAGGAGCAAGGGAGGTCCGAGAAGACCCACAGGTCCTTGTGCTGGGCGCAGAGTGAGCAGGGCAAGAGTGCAGTGAGAGGAGACCCGAGGTCAGCCCGGGCGTGGTTTCGCTTTTATCCTCAGTGAAGTGGGAAGCTCCTGAAGGACTTCAAAAGGGGAGACAGCATGAGCTGAGTTATGCCTTCAAAGTCACCACGGTTGCTAAATACAGAATGCTGTGAAGGGGGTAGTGAGAGAAGCAGAAATACCCCTATCAGTGGAGTGGTCTGTTACTTTAATCCTTTGTGGGAAGTTTCTTGATTCTATTTTTGTTTTTCTTTGAAGTACTTTGTTTCCTGGTTTTTCATAGCTTTTATAGCTGTCTACACTTGGAGTGCCCAGCAAACTGAATACTTTCTCCCTCCTCTTTTTAGGGTAGTTGCTGAAAAATGAAATGGCAGATAAAATGAAATAAATGTGAAATTTTACTCTAAGCGCCTATCCACTCCCCAGTACCCTGAAGAATTAGGGATTTTAAGAAGTATATATTGTATTGGACTTTAAAATCCTATGTTACTATTCTCCAAGGCACTTGGATATTCTTAATGTATTGAGTCCCCTGTGTTTGTCCCCTTCTGTGCCAGATGTGAGCATAGACAAAGAGTATTAAATGTTGATCCTGCCTCAGTGAGGTTACAGTTCAGTTGAGGGTATCAAATTTGTAATCAAGCCAGTTCCTGTCATGACACTGGTGTCTTCCTTACTTAGACTTCTTAGTGTTCTTTAGTAGCTGCATTCTGGGAGAGACTACAGTGAAGGAACTCCACCCAGGTTCTTCTCTGACACTCAGGAGACTTGGCTGGGTTAGACTTTATTCTGCTTGGGTTGACACTGTTCAGGAAACTCTACCTAGTTGTCCATCATTTGTTGTGATTTCTCTATGGGTGAAGTACTGTTAGAGTGTACCAAAGAGAGCTGGATATAATGGAAGAGACTTGTCCAGTAAAGGGTGCTCATCTGAGTTCCATTGACGGAGACATTTGGCTTTAAAAAAAAAAAAAATGTTTGTGCGTGTGTGTTTTTTAGTAATCCATAACATGAGAGCATTTTGTGGTAATGAGACCCAGATTTCCTTCTGTGTCTGTATCCCTTTATGCAGGCATGATTTCTTGGAAAGGAGAGTCCATATGTCAAACAGTATCTCATTGAGAACATGGATTGATTCCATAGATGCTGTGGCAGTGATTAGAGTCTTAAATATTTTGTGCTGTCTGGATCAGTGAGTGCTTGGTTCCTTAACAGATCCGCTGCCTCAGTGATTGGGAAGGCAGGATGGTAAGAGCTTTTAGATCACTTATTGTACTTGGATGCATTTGACACAGAAATCATATAATCAACATGTAAATCAAAGGAGCGTTTGAATTAATTTATAATATTGTCATGGCCATTGCGTGTCTGTGGAAGTTATTGTCACAGAAGTTACACAAAAGCTGCAGCTTTGAGTGGCTACACTGCATCTCAAAAACTAATCAGAAATGTTTCTTAAGAGGAAACTGTGAGTTTTTGTTTTGTTTTTAAGCCCCTAAGGCGTTGTTTGAACTAGGATCTTTTTCACATACCTGAGTCTTACAATTCAGTCCTGTTCCTCGCTGGAGCCTCCACCCCCTCCTACTCTGTCTCACCAATGAAACTATCATCTGTGACCTTCCTAACCCCCAGAGCAGCGTAAGAAACACAAGCCTCTGCTCTGCATTAGGTGTTATGCACGTCATTAATGCTTACTGGAAAAGCACACCCCAGAGAGCTGTGTTTTGGCTTTGGCAGGTAAAAAGTCTTTCAGATCTTGGAATGCTGGAAACCTTAAACCTTTTGGTTTTTCAGCTAAAATGATTGGCAACAGAATGTGACATCTGAGGTTGCATGGCCTGCAATAGCCATAATTAACCACATGAGCTCACAGTTTCCCACTGGAGGTTCAGTGGTCTTGGGGTGATGAAAGTGACTTCCCTACCAGGAGGTGGTTTTCCTTTCGAGGGTATTGGAATACCCTTGGGTCCTATAATGCTTCACCCGTGGTCCTTTTAAAATGCTTTTTAATATAAAGCTTCAATATTGGAAATCCAACACCACAGTGTTTAACAGGGAGGCTGTGTGGAGCACTATGGCCTGGAATGGGAAACAAGCTGGGGCTTTTAATAGGTGGAGCAGGGAGTCTTGTGGTTGCGACAATGGTGAGTGCAAATAACCTGAATCAAAGCTGATTTCCAGTTTTACTCGATTTTCATCATTTGCTGTTTCCTTTTGATTTTTGCTTTCTGTGTGTACGCTTCTCTTAGAGATGCCTTCTTTAAACTTAAGCAAAACTGTTTGTTCACTGGGGGAGATAATGTAAAAAGACCAGTTTTTTTGTTCTGGTAGCAGAGATGTGAATAGTGTAAAAATACACAAACATAATTCTTTACCAGTACCTCCTTAGTAGTATGGGGGGTTTAACATTAAAAGAGGTTTTAAAACATTCATAATTTGCCTTTGACCTGTTTGGATGACTAATTAAGAGGCCTTCTACTACTTTCTGGAAGTATTCAAATCTTTTCTTACATATCATATAGGAAAGTCCCAACCTAACGTAGTGTTATCATCTTTTTTAAACAACAACCAAAAAAAGCTTATTTATTTATTTGAAAGGCAAAGTTTCTTTGTGGGGGTTGGAGGGGGGGAGAGCGCATGAGCGAGCACACGAGAGCGAGTTTCTATCTGGTGGTTTGCTCCCCAGATGACTGCAGCGTGCAGGGCTGGGCCAGGCTGAAGCCAGGAGCTTCATTCAGGTCTCCCATGTGGGTGCAGGGGACCAAGCACTTGGACCATTCTCCACTGCTCTCCCAGGTGCATTAGCAGAGAGCTGGATCAGAAGTGGAACAATTGGGACTCGAGCTGTCACCCTTATGGGGTGTCAGACTACAGATGGTGGCTTAACCCACTGCAGCACAGCACTGGCTCCATGTTTTCTTTCTGTACTCTAACTCTTCTCAGTACTCTTCTTCTGTCCTTTTAAAAGCAATTTCTTGGGGCCGGCGCTGTGGCGTAGTTGGCTAAGCCTCCGCCTGCGGTGCTGGCATCCCATATGGGTGCTGATCGGAGTCCCATCTGCTTCCTCTTCCAATGCAGCTCTCTGCTATGGCCTGGGAAGACAGTAGAAGATGACCCAAGTGCCTGCCTGGGTCCCTGCACCCGCATGGGAGACCCAGAAGAAGCTCCTGGCTTCAGATAGGCCCAGTTCTGGTCTTTGTGCCATTTAGGGAATGAACCAATGGATAGAAGACCTTTCTCTCTGTCTCTCCCTCTCTCTATCTGTAACTTTACCTCTCAAATAAATACATAAATCTTAAAAAAAAATTTCTTGAAGACCAAGTCCTTTTACTGCTAGGAGCATTTTTAATTGGAAAGTTCCGTTCCATACAGAAAGCAGGAGGCAGGATTCAGTGACCTGTGAAGGAACTCGCAGTCCCAACTCTGACTCCAGAAATAGATACTTTGGGTGCTGGAATGTGGATACAGTTCTCCCACTTCTCCCATCACTCACTGATTTTTACCTCTATAGCTTTGACCAAACCACTTATGGATCTCATTGTTCTCATTTCTAAGTTGACAATGTCAGATGAGGCCTCTCCCAGCTTTAATACTGTGTGACTGTGAATGTATAATGTGAAGTACTAGTGTTCCCAGGGCAGCATGATGCACAGGTCTCTGTAGCAGTAAAGTGTTGTAGTGCTCTCGAGGTCCTTCCGTGGAACTGGGACAAGAGGATATGGTATCCAAAAGTATTTAGGATTCTCATGAGTAAGAGTATGATTCAGTAGTCAGTTGAAATGAATGCTGGTTGTTTTTTTTTTGTTTTTTTTTGTTTTTTTTTTTTCCCCCTGAGTTTAAGAGAACAGTTGAGAAACCCATTTTCTGTCAGGTACTACACAAGTCATTGAGAACTCATAGATTTTCTTTTATGCATTCTTTCTCTTACCAAAAAAGCATAGAAACTAAGGGTGTGTTTGTGTGTGTGTGTTTGTGTGTGTGATATGCTTGGTATATTTTAGGCTCCCAAGTCAAAAAGTTTATTAGACATTCATTTTTAACAGTGAAACTTTTGAGGCAATATGGTAGCATGGATAAGGATGGAGGATGTGGTGTCATTTCAGCTTATTTACTAGCTGTATTACTTTGGACAGTTTCCTTAATCTCTTTATGCATTAGATTTGTTGTCTTTAAAATAGATGGAATGGCATAAAATAAGATGCCCAGTTTAGTAATTCTTGGAAGGTGAATGAGTGTCAAGTACAAAGAACTACAGACAATTCCAGACGAAATAAGAATGTAGTAATAGTTGCCCATTTTGTAAAATGATCAAAGGGAAACCAAGAATCTGCTATGTTAGTCAGGGGCAGAGAACACAGTGAGAAATATATGGCTATAGTGGCATTCCTGCCTTAAGAAGGTAGTACTTAAATGATTAAATGTAAATGTAAAAGAAGAACATGAAGCGTAGTATTAATCATTGAGATTAAAGACACCCCCAGAAGTTAAGGCATAGCAAACTAAGATTGTCATCATGGTGTTAGCCACTTTTTTCTAGCCAGCTGAGGTATTCCAGCTTAAATGTTAAATATTTTAGGGTACGTGTGTTTGTGCATGTGCACTTTTTAAAGTATTTTAAAGCTCCCATAGACCAAGCAAGTTTTTCCTTCCTTCTGGGGGAAGTTTAAAACTTTTTGTTGCATTATTGTCAGTTGTGAGTACCTAAATCATCATTTGTCACTCAATACGTATTGGTAGAAATCTGGATGATGAGTTTACAGACACAAATTTCTGTGCCTTTTAAAAAGCTGGATGCTTATGTTTGACAGCAAGACCATTGGTTTTTGTTCCAATAGTTACTTCTACCTAAACTGCTTAAATAGATTGGCCTGCGAACAGTGTGGTTTTTGACCTGTTTCAGTGTTTCCGTTTAAAACATTTTTCCCCTTTTCCCATCTCAAAATTCACAAACTTATTTATGCAACACTGTCTTTATCAGTATCAAAAACATACCCCCTAAAAAGTATGTTATTCTATTTCACTTCATTTTAGAATTAATAATGTTATACAATACTACAACACTACAACTATATTACCTAGCAAGTTGTTCATGAATAAAATGTATTGTGATTACTTAGTTTGTTATATTTAAGCCTCTGAAACTAATGTTCACATCATCTTATAGACTCAAATATTTCCCTTTAAAAATGTTGGGGAAAAAAGTAACAGATATTTGGCACACTAAGAACTCTTGCTTTAAAAATACACATAAAGTTAATCACATCACATTAATTATTAGGAAATAGTTTTAAATATAGTTAGTTAATAAATTTTCAAGGCTATTTAAAGTTTCAAGGTTTGTTAATGTGCCTAGGTTGTATAAAATTCATATAATTTAGATAAATGATTAATATTTTATTTACCTCTTTTATAAGATTTCCTTTGGAATAGATTTGTTATTATTTCATAACTTTATTTATAAGATACATAGTTGTTTTCTTTTCCTCTGCTTTTGAATTTACAGCAAAAGATGATGGAAGCATTGCTGTTGCCCTTGGTTACACTGCACATTTGGTCTCCATGATTTCCTTTTTCCTACAAGTGCCCCTCAGATATCCCATAATTCATAAGGGATCTAGATCAACAATCAAAGATAATATCAATGACAAGCTGACTGAAAAGGAAAGAGAGTAAGTGTTTTTTTTTAATGCTTTTAACATCAAGCCAGTGTGAACTATATGGTATACTAAAAATATTAAGTGTGACCTAAACTGTGGCAACTTATCTATAACCTTTGTAAAGTACTCCATTTCTTTTAAGTGTACTCATTTATTTAGACTTTAATGCTTCAAATCCTGCAGTCCCAAAAATTCCTAGTGATAGCACAGTTGACTCATTTCAGTTTAATTTTCTTTCCTTTTACTTTTGTGAGCACAAATGTCACATGCTCTGCAGATATTCATATACTGCACTCAGCAAGTGAAATAAATGGTAAATGATGTATCAGAGAGCCAACCAGGAAAAGGATGAAAGGATGAACAGCATATTGAACATAACTGAGAAGTATACTGGTCAACTGAAAGACAGATCAGTAGAAAATACAAATTATGGCAGGTCAGCCTACAATTTTTTGACTTTGTGATGATATGAAAGTAATATACATTCCATGGAAGCCATAGTTTGAATTTTGAATTTGGATCTTTTCCTGGGCTAGTGATAAGCAGTATGATACTAGCTCTTGGTATGGGACAGCAACAGTGAAGCACAGCTCGCAGTGAGCCGTGAGTTCAGAATGGTAAACAGCAGATTCTCAGCGATGTTCTGTATCTCTAAATTCAGTGTTCAGCAGTGTAAGTGTATTAAATGCATTTTTGACATTTTACTATTTTCCACTTATGATGGGTTTATTGGGATATAACTCCACTGTAAGTTGTTTCCTGACGAGAATACAGAGAACAAAAGTGTTGGAATGTTGAGAAAAGTGCTAGACACATTGGACACAATACACATGTCTACTACACATATTGTTACAGACACAAAGCGAGGGCAAAGGGCAGGGGGTAAACACATTATCAAAAGAGAATGGCTGAGGCTGATGGTGTGACTCAGTGGCTTAAGCCTCTGCTTATGATGCTGGCATCCCATATCAGAGCACTGGGTCCAGTCCTAGCTGCTCTGCTTCCAGTCCAGTTCCCTGCGAATGCCTGGGAAAATAGCAGAAGATGCCCCAGTACTTGGGCCCTTGAGACCCACATGGGAGACCCATGTGGGGTTCCAGGCTCCTGGCTTTGGCCTTGCCCAGCCCTGGTGGTTGTGTCCATTTGGAGAGTGAGCCATTGGATGGAAGATCTCTCTCTCTCCATGTCTCTCCCTCTCTCTCTCACTCTGCCTTTCAAATAAATGAATAAATCTTTTTCTAAATAAAGAGATAATGACTGGGAATTTTTCAAATATAACAAATTCAAAAACAGAGTGACTACAAAGAAAACATACTTAAGGAAATGTAAAGAGCTGAAAATCAAACACAAAGGGAAAATATTAAAAGCAGCTGGGGAAAAATGACATTTTAGTATCAAAAGGCTTATGATAAGATTGAAAGCTGGTTTCTTAGTGGAAACAACACAATCCAGAAAAGGTGATGCAATGACATTTTAAATTACTCAAAGGAAACAAATGTAAGGGCAAAGTAAAGACATTTTTCAGACCATAAAAATGGAGAAAATTCTCCCCAGAAGACCTACACTGAAGGAAATACTAAAGGCAAAATGAAAATAATCCTGCAGAGAAAATGAAGATGCAGGAAGGGAGCCAGCATTGTGGTACACTGGCATCCCTTATCAGTGCCAGTCAGCATCCCAGTCACTCCACTTCCAATCCAGCTTCCTTCCTTCTAAAGCATCTGGGGAGACAGCAGAAGATGGCTTACACCCCTACTGCCCATGGGAGACATGGGAGACCTGATGGAGTTCACACTTCTGGCTTCAGCCTGGCCCAACCCTGGCATTTAGAGAGTGAACCAGTAATTGAAAGATCTCTCAGCCAGTGCCGGCTCCCTAGGCTAATCCTCTGCCTTGCGGCGCCGGCACACCGGGTTCTAGTTCCGGTCGGGGTGCCAGATTCTATCCTGGTTGCCCCTCTTCCAGGCCAGCTCTCTGCTGTGGCCAGGGAGTGCAGTGGAGGATGGCCCAAGTGCTTGGGCCCTGCACCCCATGGGAGACCAGGAGAAGTACCTGGCTCCTGCCATCAGATCAGCGCAGTGCGCCGGCCGCAGCGCGCCGGCCGCGGCGGCCATTGGAGGGTGAACCAATGGCAAAGGAAGACCTTTCTCTCTGTCTCTCTCTCTCTCTCACTGTCCACTCTGCCTGTCAAAAATAAATAAATAAATAAAAATAAAAAAAAAGATCTCTCTCTCTCTCTCTCTGACTCTCTTTCACATTGCCTTTCAAGTAAGGTGAAAAAACATTTGTTGAAAGAAGAAAATGCATAAAAGAACAAAGGGCAAAAGAAAGGATTTTGACTTTGAAACAGATAGTAATGCCTCATCAAATAAATGGGATACACATAAAATGTATGTGGGATTATCATGCATGATTCTAACACAAAAATTGAGAAGGAGCACATGAAATTAAAATACTGGGGCTTGCATTATGGCATAGTGGGTTAAGCTGTCGCCTGCAACACCAGCATCTCATCTGGGTGCTGGATCAAGTCCTGACTGCTCCACTTTCCATCCAGCTCCCTGCTAATGGGCCTGGGAGGGTTGTGGAGGATGGTGCAAGTCCTTGGGCCCCTACACCCATATGGGAGACCTGGATGAAGCTCCTGGAAGTGAACTAGCAGATGGAAGATCTCTCTCTCTTTATCTCTCCCCGCCTTTCTCTGTAATTCTGCCTTTCAAATAAAATAAATCTTTAAAAAAGTACTCTAAGATCCTATTGTTGTCTGGAAAGTAATAAAAATATCATTTTTTGTTACTCTAATAAATCAAAGATATTTTGTGTAACTTCATATCCACTAATAGAATTATTTTATATGAGTGAAAATTTAATGAAGGAAATAAATGGGAAAATATGTAAGAAAATTGATCAAAAGAAGGTTTTAAAAAAAGAAAAATACACATTAAGTAAGATGAATAGAAAACAAATAGCAAGTTGATAGTTACAAGCCCAGATTTATCCTATGATTATATTAAAAATAAATAGTAGAGACTGATGTTGGGCACAGCCAATTAAGCCACCCCCTGTGATGCTGGTATTCAATGTTGGAATGCTAGTTTGAGCCTGGCTGCTCAACTTCTATTCCAGCTCCCTCTAAAATGTCTGGGAGAACAGAGAAGAATAGCTCACATGCTTGGGCCCCTGCCACCCACATGGGAGTTTCAGGCTCCTGACTTCAGCCTGGCCCACCCACAGCTGTTGTAGCCATTTAGGGAGTGAACCACTGAACAGAGGATAACTGTCTCTTTTTGTCTTTCTCTCCTTTTGCCCTCCCCTCCCCCTCTCCCTTTCTCTACCTTCCAAATAAATAAGAAATATCTTCTTGAAAAGTGTAAATTGTACTAACATTCTTCTTAAAATAAAGATTATTATAGTGAATACTAAACTCATTCTGCTTTCAAGACATACCTCAGTTATGAGGACACAGAAATACTCAAAGAGTGAATGAAAGTGTATTATATAAATAAGATCTAAATGAGAACTAATATAACTATACTGATATCAGTGAAATTTAAGGCAATATCAATTAAGTCAGACATTTTTGTGATAATACAGTCAATTCTAAATCTATGAGACTTTACTTCAAGTATAAAGACAAAATTTCCCAAAACTACAAGGAAATCTTACAACAGAGGACTTTTATCAACTATTAGAGCAAGTAGACAAAAAAATCAGTATCTAAAAGACCTGAGCAGCACAATTAATAAAGTAGACCTAACTATGTATAAATAACATTGCACCGAGCAGTTGTAGGATACACTTACTTTTTCTCTGGTACACATAGATTATTTACCAAAGTTGATTATGCTGGGCCTCAACAAATTCCAGGAGAATGAGACATTAAGAATACATTCAGTGACCACAGTGGAATTTATTGGAAATCAATGATAAAACCCCAAAAATGTGTGGCTATTACAGTATATGCTTCTGTGCTTCTGTATAGCTTACAAATCAAAGAAGAAACCATACAAAAAGTCTAAAATTTTTTGAAGTGAATGATGGTGAGAATATAGTGTATCAGAATATCTAAGTTATAGATAAATCTGTAACATTAAGTGCCTGTGTCAGAAATTTATAACCTTAAATGATTGTGTCAGAAAAAAAGAAAGATGTTAAAGTAAATCATCTTAAGTATCTATGTGAAGCCACCAAAAGTCAATTAGTTTAGTGCTAGGAAAGTGAAAGGAAGGAAGTAGTAAAGGTAAAGATAAAAATCTAAATGTATGACTATACAGTAGAAAAATAATAAAGGTAAAAGTTCTAATCCAAAAAAGGCAAAAGTTCTAACGCTTTAGAGAATTAATTTAGAAATGAAAAAAGACAAGGCAACATAACCAATATAAGGAACAAAAGAAAGTTGATACTGCAAGTACAGACAATTAAGGATGAGAAGATCCTGTTAACAATCTAATGCTAATTAATATGAAATTCAAAGAAAATGTCTAAATTTCAAGCAAAACACAACTTTCCATTTTTTCAAACCATGAGTTTTCATGAACTCATTCCATCCAAACTCATTGTATGAAGTCAGCATTGCCTTGATTCCAAAACCAGACAAGCACACCACAAAAAAGGAAACTATAGACCAATATTGCTGATGAACATAGATGCCAAAATACTAGCAAATCAAATCCAACAACAGATCAAAGTGGGATTTATTTGAAGGATACAGCAATTTGCACATCAATAAGCATATAATGTCACATCAACAGAATGAAGGATAAAAATCATATGAACATCTCTCTAGATGCAGAAAGGGCATTCAGTGGGAGTGGTGCTGTGGCATAATGAATAAAGCCACCACCTGCAATGCCAGCATCCCTGGAAAGTCCTGGACTGCTCCAGTTCCAATCCAGCTCTCTGCTAATGGCCTAGAAAAACAGCAGAAGATGGCCCAAGTGCTTGGGCCCTTGCTTTCCACGTGGGAGCCCCAAAAGAACTTCTTGGCTCATAGCTTTGGCCTGGCCCAGCCC